CCATTCATCAACAGATGCTGCTTCCCTGGCTGCTATTAGTAAACTGAACTAATGCTGTTATTTTTGCCTTGTTGCTAAGACGTGAAAGTGGCTATTGTAGCTAATTAGTGTTGCCTTGTTGCTAACAAGTGAGGGGTGGCACCTGAACGATTGAATCAGTTCTTGGTCTGTAGCTAACAAGTGAGGGAATATCGGGGGAATGGATGAAATGGAATCAATCCTTTATCGTCTATGTGTCAGGTCTAGCCCTTTGCTCACCTATCTGGCTCCCCGCTTCTTCTGTCTAGCGGTGCACTGCTACGCTTCCGATGAACGAGATCTTGGCCTCTACAAGCAAGCTAGCGAGCCAGTTACGACTTCACTCCTTGCTTCTTCTATTGAGTGCGGGTTGATCCGATCTTATGTTGCGGGACGGGAGATACACAGTTTCAAGGATATAGATTCACTATAACGGCTTCTTTCTCAGTCAATCAATCGATTTCATTAGAACAGTGCTGTCTTTGAACAGAGACGGAGCCCAGCTTTAAACAGGTCTTAAGCTCACGATTTTTAGGAGGGAATTGACGAACAACCAACACCTATATTAGTGTTGAATAGAGAAATGAGGCGTAGCCAAGCGGTAAGGCAACTGGTTTTGGTCCTTTGACTCGGAGGTTCGAATCCTTCCGTCCCAGAGCCGTACAATTCCCACCAGAAGAAAGAGATTCCATTTCCTCCTTCTATGAATTTCGTGCTTACTTCTTTGCCTAAACTTCAAGGTCAATAAATTAGGACTCCTACCCACGGTTTGCTTTCTCCTACAAAAGCTCTGTGGGTCTGTCTCCTACTACTCCCCCGATACGAGTCCTCCCCCTTTCTTTCCTCGTTTGAACCTCGCCTTTTCACTATAGTTGCTGCCATTGACTCACTTCCATATTGAGAGTGCTATAACAAGTTCGCTAACCAGGTCTCGCTATCCACTCTCCTAGCAAAAGAGAGAGCACCTGTTCGCTAGCCACTCTACTAGTTGAAGATAGAGAAGCCGCTTTTGCACCTGGGATGAAGCGCTGTCACCTTTCTTGAATCGATCCGTATGAGGGAAAGATCGAGTTAGCTGTACCGCCCGGGCTCATGGTTCCAATCCCAAAAGGGATTCTGCCCAGCCTTTCTATCTATCAGAAGTTTGAGTCTTCGAAGAGAGGACTGATTGCCATGGAGATGGAGTAGCGATCGAAAGACTAAATCCACTTCCCTCAAGTGCTTTCTTTCGGGGATGGATGAAAGGCTCTACCTATATCCATTTTTCCAATTGGGGATTTTCCTATAATGATCTCCATGAATAGATGTTTCCAACTATGGGTCTCGAGCAGTAGAGAAGAACGGCACTACCTAGTGGTAGAAACAAAGAGCAAATCAAAGTCATCTTGTTCACAGCGGATATGCTTCTTTACCACTGCGTTTCCCCTTTCACGAAAGATAGATCAAAATCGACTATCACTAATACACAGAATCGAATCCATATGGTTTCTATTCTGCAGACTAGAAAAGAAGGGTACTTGCTCGAGCCAAGCCATAAGTAAGAGATTAGATTCATTTATGTAAGTGATTTCGGGTCTAGGTTCGGTGAACCCTGCTTCCATACAATAGAGTCGAAGGATAGCTGTATAGCTAAGGTGTAAGGGTCAATTTGTGCTGCTCTTGCGGGTCCAACTCCTGTGTCCTGTCTGTCCTTCGTAGGCGGGCTGGCTGTTCCCGAGAAAAAGTTGAAGAGGTTTGGCATCTACACAAGAAAAGGCTATCACCCGTAGCACGTAAGGTGCTGAAAATAAGACCCGTTAATGCCTCCTAAGCAAGTACCCCTTCTTCCGAGAAGTTATCGTGCAGATGCGAAGACAAG